ATATTCTAGCTTCGAATATACTTACATATGTAATAAAACCCAAGGGCGTTGTCATCGAGCGCATATAATTAGCCGATAATTTATCGATTGCAGTCCATCGGTCATCGTGGGATGACTCCTAACGATAGTTGGAATCTGTAAAATCCTCTCGAACGATATCTGTCAGGCAGAAGCCAACATTTTCTTCTTCCTTTGCTTAAGCTCCTCCAATATTTTCGTAGATTTTTAACTTCTGGCTCTGAAATATGGGTTAAAGAGTAAACTGGGGAAAAAAGAGGCAGATAGAGAGCGTGAGAGAGGCAGGGAGAGCAATGAGTGGGAGTGGGAGGCGGAGCCGGAGACGAACCATAGCTAAACCGAAGAAATCAAGTTTGAATTGTTTGTGCGGGTTAAAGTTTGATTGATGTGCCGTGCTCGTCGTGCAGACAACATGAAAATTAGTTGAGAGACTCTCTCGAAACTTGAATGCTGATGGGGGGCTGACAGGGGTGAAGGAGAAGGGGGGCATTTGTGTGTATGTGTGTGTGGCCTGCAGTCGGATTGATTGACAGCCAAACAAACGAGACGGCACTCTGGAAACAAGTTTCGGGGCAACAGAATTCCAGGGATATAACTTGGTCTAGGCTAAATCTTAGAATTCGACACCTACCAGATACTTTCAGTTTCCAAATGAGTATCTAAAAGGTCTTGGACGCGTCTGAGCTGCTCGTTCTTTGATTTTAGTTTTCGGAAGTCCCAAGAGAGAAGCCAACACACTGATAAGAAACAATGCGATAGCTGGCGATACTTTTATATACATTATCAGCAACAGATTGTCAACCATCGGCAGTTCCGATCTGTGTCTGGCTGTTACTGTTGCTCTATCCATGAAATTTCCCTGGGCCTCACTCGAGTCCATCGTTTAACTGGAACATTAGATACATATATGAGGCCTTATCCTGTGGGATCATCGTATCCTTTACTGTCCGGGCCCACCCAAGATTTCTGGGCAACTGCAATGCCTCCTCCTCCTCCTGCAGCATCATCCACTTGAAGAGGGGACGGACGAGCAGAGGAGGCCGATGCTATCACAACTACTCGAAGCACTATCCCATTTCACACTCCCAGCATGGGTCCGTATGTGTGTGTGCGGTGTGTGTGTGTGTGCGGTGTGTGTGTGGCTGTTTTATCATTAACTTGAGATGCCTCATGAGGAAGTTACTTGGGAATCCGCCTGCCTGGCGTTTCTTGTCCTGTCTGCCGGAGAATGGAAGGAGGGAGAGGCGGCGGCCGAGGGCCTCGGGTTGGGCTGGGGCAGGCATTGGGCAAACAAATTCAGGCAACAAAAGCCCAGCCCAATATACTGGGGACAAGTGTCGTGGGCTGCTGGAGAGGGTTTGAGGAATGAGAAATGAGGCATGCGGCATGCGGCATGCAGCATGCAGCATGCAGCATGCAGCATGAGACTAAGGCTGACACAGTTTCCTGTCTGTCGTCAGTGGCCTGCAGCACTTGAGTGCGTGTTGCAAATTGAGCGCATCACTAAAAACAGCAGCAGCTGCCACAGCAGCAGCAACAGCAGCAGTAGCCTCGCAAAGGGGCAGTGTTGCAGTTGCGAAGCAATCGAGGCAGCAACAAGGTTGTCAGACCTGTAAGTGTCATAGCATATCAAATGTCCCACACTCCCCCGCCCCATATGGACACTAAGGGAAGGGGAGAAGCCATGCAATGCGCGGTGGCTGCGCATGCGCAGAAACCAACCGCAGAAACCCCAGAGACCAGAGCAAAGCAAATGAAACCAAGAGCAGCAGCAGCAGCAGCATCGCTGACAAGAGCGTGCCAGCAACAGCCCTCCCCTGGATTCCGTGCTGGCAATTTAATGCCTGCTTTGTTTGGCGGGTGGACAGGACACTGGGGGCTAGGGGGCTAGGGGGCTGGGCGGCTGGACGGCTGGACGACTAGGAGTGTGAGTTGGTCACCTGCCAGACCAATGGATAGATGGATGGATGGACGGATGGCTAGTTGGTTGGATGAATGAATAGATGAATGGATGGACGGTCATCATGGCAACGACGCCTCCAGTGGCTGCCTGCGGCTGTAGGCGCCATTGGCTTGAACCGAAACCAAACTACGGCTCAAACAACAGGAATATAAACAGCCAACATCGAACAGCCAATATCCAACGGGCAGGACGCACGCCGCCGCCATTGAGGCGTGCACTAATGAATGGGGCGCCTGCACACTGCGGCAACGAGCAATGAGGTGGCAAACAATCTACTCGTAAAATGAACATTTGATAGCCATTAGATCAACAATCAACGGACAATGGGCTGGCCGGAATCGGCAGGGGATTGTTAGCGAATGTTTAAGGTCTTCAATGCAGGTACAGTTGTGTTTAAACTTTAAAGCCAACTGACAACATTGATGTACAGTTGTGCCGGAAATTTGACATTCAAACGTCTTTTCAGTACAGCTGGAATTTTAGCCCCTGGAACTGATGATTTCTCTATCCTGTATCTGGATCTGTGTCTATTCTGAATCAATAAGCGCTTTTTTCTAGTAAATATCCTACATTATTTTGCGATTTCTATCACGATTTAAGGTCCAATGAATGCAAATTGTCGCTCCTTTGATAATTGTCAATATTACTCCCCATCTGTAGCTGTGTGTATCTGTGCGAATCTGTGTGCGTGTGCAGACATAAAACGAATATTTTATAAAAATAATTTACTCTGCCACTATATTCACCGCCCTCTCCTGTACCCTTGTGCCAGCCCATTGGAGTCCTTGGTGGCAAAACGTATAAAATATTGTTCTGCAAAACGAATTTATAATCCCCACAAACGGGGGTGCACAAATGTTTGTAATATCAGTGTGGGAGGGGCAGTTGAATTCTGTTTATATTCCGGTACATACTCTACATGCCACAGGCCTCATGCATCACGAGAACCCGTTTCTTCTCCAACAGATCTCTTCGGGAATTTCAGGAATTTAAATAAATAATTATTGATGATTTTTCTGCTAAAGGATGCTCCCCTCCTTCGTTATTTCTTCTCTCCAAAACAACACACATTGCGTGTGCATGACTCCCACTGCATATGGATAGGGTATAGGTTATGTTTGTGTACGTCCGGTTCATGGTAAATGGTGTCCCTTTCTGATGCTGCATATTGCCACCACAGGAGCGGTTCGAATTCAGTTTTGGGTTCGATTTGTGTCTGAAAATTAAATAAAAATGCAAATAAAATAAAAACAGGTACAAAAATAAAACGGCATATATATTTACATACATACATGAAATGTGATATTTTTTACACAAATGAAATAATATGCATAGGGGTTTTTGTACCCGATACTCGAAGGGTATAGGGGTATATTAGATTTGTGCTAAAAGTGGATGTGTGTAACGAGAAGAAGGAAGGAAGGAAGAAGGAATAGCCTGTCTGTCCGTCCATCTGTCCGTCCTGCTTGACGCCTACAAACGCCTCTCCCAAACTATAAGAGCTGGAGCAGACCCCTTCCGCCCACACAAAAAACCAAAATCTGTGGCATCCACAACTTTGAAAATACGAGAAAACCAAACGCAAAATCGTAGTGAATGGCCATATCTAGCAGATTGCCGAATCTGGATCAGATCGGATCATGCTCATTATCTCTCTGTCTCTCTCACACACTCTTCCTGGTGCAGTGTGCGCCCTCTGGCGGAGGAAAGCGGGAGGAAACGGCTGGTGGTGGTGTGAAAAGCAAAATGGCAACAGATAATATCTAATATATTATATAAAAATCTCCAAAATGGTTCTGCCTGAATACCGGGTACAAAAGTAGAGCCGCGGCCTCTGCCGCGCCTCAGAACGTGCTCGCTCGTATTCTTTCGGCTATGTTTTTCATTAAGGTTGCAATTTATTGTGGCCCTCCACCATATTGCTGTTGTTCCGCTAACAAAATATACTTTGTCCAGAAAACAGAAACCACCGATGGCCCCCCAACCGAAAGTTGGACACAAAAAATCAGAAGCAGAAATGAGAAATGGGAAATTTGAAATGCATCTGCGACTACCATCGATCTCTGTTGTTCTCTCTATCGTGCACTCGTATGAGAACAGAGTCGGTTTGTCTCCCCACCTCCCGGTATATAAATCACGCATTTCCATCTGTAAGCCTCTCGGATTTAAGCCAAAAGCCGAACTAAATCTCGTGTCTCTTCCACAATTGGTCTGCAAAGTATATTTAAAGTCATTTCCTTTAAAAATATGTCATTCTATGGCTGGATTGTGGGAGCTGTACAGAATAGGCCTTCGAAATTAGAATATTTTGTCGTTAATAGGCAGAAGGACTTTTTTAGTTTGGAGTTCATGAGTTGGCCACGTTTTAAATTAGTTTTAATTAATTATTGTTGGTATATTCGCTACTCGCAGACTATAGGGGATGTGTGTGACGCCCAGAAGGAAGCATTTCCGACTCCATAAATATTTATATTCCTGATCAGCATCATTAGCCGAGTCAATGTATCCGTCTTGTTTGAGGCCTACTTCTCAGAGTCCATAAGAGCTGGAGCAAGCAAATTTTGTATCCAGACTGCTGGGATACTACCCCTAATCAAGTGTATCTTCCATATTGTTGTATTGAAACTTGAAATTCCGACAAGGTAATAAATGCAGGTCATGCAGCCGACATGTATTTTGTTTCGGGCATTTCTCAGAGCAATCTTTGAGAGATCATTCATTGGTGGTTTCCATAGAGCTCCCATGTCTAGCGTGACTATATCGTGGCATCGGGAAGTATCCTTTTGATCTGCCAAAAAAGTTCCCTTTCCACCTTTCATCCATTCCCCGAAATTGTCCCTGCGGCCCTCCTGTAAAGCGGTCGGTAAAGCCATAATAAGAATTACTTAGACCTAAGTTGGGCAAATTCCGTGAATGCCTTGAGCCCCGTCCCCCTCCCCCTCCCCCCTCCATTGACAACTGAAACTTAAAGTGTCCATCACTCTTACCCTTACCTCTCTCTCTCTTTGTTTAATTCCAGATGCCAATCCGCAGCAGCAACAGCAGCTGGTCCAGCAGCAGCAACAACTCCAGGCGCCACGTTTCACCACGCACCCATCGTCATCGGGCTCGATTGTGAGCGAAGGCAGCACCAAGATCCTGCAGTGCCATGCTTTGGGTAAGTTTTTGTCTCCCACCTTCTGCAGAGTGGCCCGTTTTCGTTCTAAACATAATACTTGTCCCTCAAAGCGATCTGACAGCCGAAACGGGGATCAGGATTGGAGATTGGGTCTTTAACTTCGACTCCGACGCATTTGACTCTGACTCCGAGGCAGGGGCTGGGGCTGAGGCAAGGGGTGTAAAATGAAACCATAAACGAAAACACTTTTTCTTTCTTTGGGCACCGCGCACTTTTGAAAGATAATGATGTAGAAAAACAATAACTTTTATGAGGTTTCCCCCCAGCTGGGGCGTGTGTCCGAGCCGTGTCTGTGTCTGTGTCCGTGTCCGTTCCCATTCCCGGCCGCTCGTGTAATCCTTTGAGCGCTTAAGGGCGTTGCCATGGCCGAGCTCCGGTCCGCCCGGACCAGCTCTGGCAAGCTCGGACAATGGCCGCACCGCACTCCAGTTACACGTAATGTTTCCTCTTGGGCCTCTTGGGCTTCGCCCTCGTTCACGTCCTTGTCCTGCATTTGACAGTTTCGAGTATCGGTTTCATATTTTGTGTGTGTGTGTGTGTGTGTGTGTTTACCTTACCGTGGTCCCATACCATCCTGTGTGCCCCCGGTTCGCCGAAAAAATGAAATGTTATGAACTTCATTCTAACCATGTCCTTCGGCTTCTGCTGTTTACTGCCCGCCACCCACTCCCCTTTGCTTCCCACGAAGCCCGGGTGCTAGCAGTATTTTATGGCCGGCGGATTCGCAAAATTAGTCGTGAAATGTGTACTCGGACCGGGGACTTTGGGGCCTGTCGGGCCTCTTGGGCCTCTTGGGCCTGTTGGGCGAGTATCCTATTTAAGACGGCAAATTACAGCTAAACGGCGGCCAAAGGTACTCGCACATTTATTTGAAGGTATTTCCGGGCCAACATTGTTGGCATAGGCAACATCCAGCAGACAACAGATTAAAGGCTCGATTTTAATGTCAATAAAGTATCCAACGACTGCATATCCCCGATTTGCTCCGAGAGTGAAAACTGTTAAAAGGAATTGTTTTCACTTACATTTTCATTTAACTATAAAAATATTATATTTAAATCAAAAATATATCAAAAATCAATTAAATATGTTTTATATTTTGATTAAATATATTTTATGTTTAAGATAAATAAACTTAATATTTAAAAAAATATATTTCACATTTAAATTAAATATATTTCATATTTAAATTAAATATTTTTCAAGTGAAATATTTCTTAATTAAAATAAAATATCATATTAGATAATAATAGGTAATAATAATTTTAAAAAATCTTTCAAAACATTTATTTTTATATCAAAGTGAATTCTATTTAATTTCTTTACGTTTTGCACTTAAAAACCGAATATTTATTGTAAATATGTTTGTGTTTATTTATACTACGCCATTTTTCTCTGAGTGTAAGTGTCCCAAGTCTTAAAAAAGAGTTTAGAAATTTAGTCAAATATATGTCCTTGTCGCAATTGTAATAAATGTATTAGCTGGACTGGCTTTATGGACTTCGAATCCTTTTCTTTATCACAAATAAACAGCACGCATGAGTACCGGAGGCATCTAAATAGTAATTATCCATTGTCCTGTGTCCTGTGTCCATCATATTTCCATAGCGGAGTGGAGTCCCCATCGAGTGAGGGGTGAGCTGTCGGATGTGGAAAGATTTGATTTGACTGTGATGCAACCCGGTGGCTTCTGCTGTGTGTCGTCGCGCGGGCGTTTTGATGCACATTTGAGCAATTCAATCTGCCACACACGGATACCTTCCAGGGCTTTCCGCGTCCTGTGTGTCGTCCTCGTTGTCTGCGAGTATGTGGGGGATCTACGGAAAGTATCCAAGAGCCATGCACTCTGCATAAGCGGCAGGCCCCGAAAGCCGAAGCTTTAGACACTCTTTTGCTGCAACCCAAGGCTTTTACTTTCTATATGCTCCGCCCTCTCTTGGGCCTCGCCAAAGACTGTGTATATTATTGCTGCATTTTGGGGACCGACTTAGCTGCCCAAAGAATGTATAGCCCTCTGAAAGGGTATGCAAAAAATGGCATAGAATACAACAGCAAAAAAACAAGAAAAAATGGAAATCTCTTAAGCTGCTCTTTGGGGTACATACATCATGATGATGATGATGATGATGATGTAGATGTAGATGTAGATGTTGTTGGTGTTGTCACATATGCCGCAACAAGCGTTGACGTTGGCGTTTGCAGTCACTTTGGCGGTTTTAGCTGTCAACACACACGAGATACTCGCGCCATAGCTCGTCCCTGAAGATGGTTGATGGATGGGGGGGGGAGAGAGGGTTGGGTTAGGGACACGGATACGGATACGGCTGCGATGGAAAAGGGAAAAGCAGGTGGAAAGCCGCGGCTGTCTATACGAGGAAGTTTTTCTTTTTTTTTTTTACCTTGTTTGTGTTTTTGGTCCGTCGCTGATGCTGGATGTTTTTTCGCCTAGTTTTTCCGATGGATTCTCAAGTGAAAACGGGTCCCCTTGCACTCCCCACTCTGTCTCCTCTGCCGTGTCTCCTTTTGGTCTCTGGCAGCGTTTCTTTCGCGACAATCATGAAAACTAAACAAGAATAAGAAAACGGAGCGAGTCAGTGTCGGAAAAGAAGCTATCAGAACTATACCAATACCCTGTCCTGTACGAGGAGATCCATTACTTGAGTACACTTTCATTGAGACCCAAGGAGTCGTAGGTCCGTAATCCTCTCCAAGTGAATGCCCACAGATGCGATTTTGTGGTGTAATTTTGAGATATGAATGATATTGGATTCTCCCGGACACCCTAATGAATATTCCAGCTTAACACCCCACCCCAGCCCCAGCCACCCGTCAAGTGTAGGGCATGCAAGCGGCACAAAAAGCTAAGCAAAGTGTGTGTGTGTTTTTGTGTTGAAGGAATTGTTTTCTGGCCAACAAAATGAAATGCGATGTGGCAGCATTAGAGTGTGCGAGAGAGAGGAGGGGAAGAGGCAGGGGCAGGAGCTGGAGCAGTCGGCTTTTCTTGTGCTTCTTTTTCTGTTGTTGCTTCTCTCAAATGTAGCGCATTCACTTGCAACAAAGACTTTTATATATGGAAACAACAACAAGAACAAAGCCGCCAAAGCTGTTTTCAGCGGCAAATGCACCCAGAAGCATAGGGGGCGGAGAGAGGCTGTGGGATGGGGCAGCAATAGAGGAAACCTCGACAAAAGAGATACCCGGTGCACTCAGTGGAGGCCATTGCGGGGGGATCTCCGTGAATGTGCCCATAGAATAGGCTCACAGTTCCACGGCGATGATTCCCATTCAGTTTAACAACAAAAACAGAAAACCGATCACTTTCTATATTCAAGCACGACAATATTCCTTTCAATCCTTTGACATATTGGCCCAACATTTTTGCAATTTCAGACCCGCAACATCGATATCTGGTTTGTCAAAAAACAAACCCTGTAGCGCTCGGCGTTCATCTTATTTAAAAAAAATAACTTGGCCGTTCGCTTATGGGAAATGTTCACAGCTAATGTTGCAATGTATCCTAGAAGAGAACTTTATGGAAACAACTTTTGCAGAATTGTGGATCTCATACTATTTTATATTTTTTTTACTATCGATTAATACCCTTTAAAATCGACAAAAATTGATTCTATCGTTTTCCTTTTTTTTTTTATCATTTTTTCCTTTTTTTATGTTCTATAAAATATATGATTCAGGATAAAAGTACTTACACAGAGACTTATTCAAATACCCACAAAATTCCAGAAAAGTTTTTCATTCTCGGCTAACGATATATATTTTTTAACTTCTTAAACACAAGACATTTTTTTACCTAAAAAAAGTTGAGATAATTTGTAGGTAAAAAGGAAACAAATTTTAAGAGAAATCAATGCATTCTGGTATTCCAAAATTGTTCAAATTGAACTATTGCCTAAGATATCTTGAGAACGAGAAATTTTCAAAAATAAATCTTAGCAGAAATGCTTTATTTACTCACTTCAAATGCATTTGAAATGCCGCTACATATATCGACGATTCTTATGACTCTCAAACAGGATATACCTTTGTCCTTTACGAGGTGCGGGGTAGAAGAGGAAAAAGTGCTGGGGCTGGGGCTGGGGCTGTGGGAGGGAGAGACGTAGGAAACAGTTGGAGACACAGTCGGCATCGCGTGCGTGGTTACTTACAGCGTTTCTCCCTTGCCTCCAGTCTCCCCGGGCCCGGGCCTTCCCCTGCGTCTGCAGCTTCCTATGCCCTCTCCTCTTGCATTTTGTCCTTCCCCCCCACTGCATTTTCCTCGTCGTCGCTTGCAAACAGCAACAGAGAGTGGAATAAGTAGAAGATGCTGAAAAGGGAAAGGGAAGCGGGGTGCTGAGGGGCGGAGAGGAAGGAAGAAAAAAGTAAGCTGAAAAATTGCAAACTATTGTTTTTGGTGGTGCCAGGTTTTTGTCGCAGTTTTTTGTACCCTTTCAGAGGGCATCACGAGCTTACAGAATAACATTTCCGATCCATTTTTTATACCCCTGTCCAAGGGTCTCTTCCACCGCTGAACAGATCAAAGTACGTGTATCCTTCGACCAAATGTGCTTCAATTTGTTTCTCAAAATGGAAACGGCACTCGCCTCGTACTCGAGTGATTCAAATAAAAGACCAATTAATTTGTAAGGGTATTAATAGTTTTCCCTATTGCAATTTGTCGCCTCTGCTGTTGGTGGGGCTTTCCTTTCGCTCCTTTGTTCCTTCTGTTCCTGGTGATTGCTGTTATTGTTGCTCTCCTTCTTTCTACTTGCTTTTAAGGCTGCTGCCTTCCTCCTTGCTCCGGCTGGAAATCCCCTTGTTTACGTTTGCCAGCAGCATCTTATCGGACGGGTTTTAGGGGGCAGTGGGCTGCAGCTGGAGAAAGCCGAGAGGGAAAGAGCATAAACGATATGCCTATGTGCTACTCGTGTCGTCATCTTCGGCTCAAGTGTGCTGGAAGGCTGTTTCTAAATGGTTTTTGAAGG